GGGGGGAGTTTACAGATTCTCTTTACACTATAATAAGATCAGAAAAATAGAACAAAATTATAGCGTTGGACAAGGAAATGTAGACATAGAGGAGGAAGAATAGAATGTTTTAACATGGGGAAGGGAGGAATGTTGATCTCGGGGCTAACGTTGTTGCTGTTGCTGTTGTTGTTGTTGTTGTTGTTGTTGTTGTTGTTGTTGTTGCTGTTGCTGCTGCTGCTGCTGCTGTTTTTGTTGTTGCTATTGCTGTTTCTGTTGTTGTTCTTGTTCTGGTTGCTGGGGTTGACACTGACGTTGTCTTGTTGTGTCGTGTTGTTGTCGTTGTCGTTTAATTGGGGTTGCTGAGGTTGCTGATGCTGTCGTGGTTGTTGTAAATGCTGTTGCTGTTGTTGTTGTTATTACTGTTACTGATCCTTGCTAAGGTAATAACAGATGGTGGTGTTTATGTTGCTCTTGTTGTTAAGTTATTGTTTGTTCTAGTAAGTGTTTTACGGCACTCACAACACAATAAGGTCATATAAGTGCCGAAGATTAGAGGTGTTACAAGAGAGTAACAAATACAAAAAGGAGAGGGGGGGGGGAGATTTAAAAAAAAACGATAGACGTTTGATAGGAAAGAAGAAGCAAACCACACCAGAGCACCCGCCAACCACCCACGTTGCTAAGTTATAACACACCACACATCATCCCACTACAGGCCCCAGCACGCCAAGTGTCAGTACACACAAAAACGACATCACAATTGGTATCATTCACTTTAGTTTTAGTAGAGGTTTTACGGCGTTCGCAACTGCATAAGCTCATATAAGTGCCTAAGAATAGATGTGTTACGAGAGAGTAACAAACACAAAACAGAAGGAGGGGAGATAAGGACGATAGATGTTTTATAGGAAAGAAGAAGCAAACCACACCAGAGCCCCCGCCAACCACCCACATAGCAGAGGAGGGGGGAAAGAAACTGCACATGGGGGAAAAATTAAAACAAGACCTACCAGTGGCGCCCTCCAATCACCAACTAATTCACCAAGAAGAAGATTCACACTAGGCAGGTGGAATGCAAGGTAACTGCATATAGGGAAAGCATGCCGTGTGTGTGTGTGTGTGTATGTGTGTGTGTGTGTGTGTGTGCGCGTGCGTGCGTGAGTGCATTTGTTTGCGTGTGTGTGTGTTTGTTTGTGTGTTCGTTTGTTTGTGAGCATGGCAAAATCTGACACTGTACAGTATCTCTACATTCTTCGGTATCCCTCCCTTCCCTTTGTCTCC